GACACCAAAACTGAACGTGTGTTCAAGGTTGTCATGAAAGGACTGCCCAGTGGTGAATCCCTGGATCAGATCAAAGATGAACTGGCAAAATTACTTGGAGTTGTGCCACTCCAAGTAATCAAAATGAAAATGAAATCCCGTCCTGGCGATTCGCGCAACGGGATTTCTAATGATTTTTATTTAGTTCACTTCAAGTCTAGTGAACTAAACAACCTTAAGGCCTTAGAAAAAGCTAGCCTTATGCTCCATGTCCGAGTGAAGTGGGAACACTTCAGGAAGACTGGAGGAAATTTCCAAAACCTCACTCAGTGCCGGAAGTGCCAGGGATGGGGTCACGGAACTAAAAATTGCTACATGCCAGCTAAATGCATGAATTGTGGTGATTCCTCTCACGCAAAGGACGACTGTCCTGTGAAGGAAGATCCTAAGAAATTTAAATGTTCAAATTGTGGTGAAAACCACAAATCCAATTTTTGGGAATGTAAGACTCGCAAAGCGATCCTACAATCTCGTTCTAACCGACAGGTAGGAAACGCTCAACGTTTCCGAACAGGTACAAATTCCTCTGCTGTTAACAACGGTCAGCGAGGAACAAATTCTACATTCGTACCCGTAGGTACAAATATCACCCCTGCTTCAAATGTTTCATCTGTACCTACTCCCCTCGGTGCTAACAATGTTCAGCGAGTTAATGGAGCTACCTATGCTGCTATTGCAGCGGGTAGAAATCAAAATACTAACCAACGTAATTCTAACGGAAATTTTGACAATTTTGACTGCCCCTAAAATGGAATTTTTACAGAATTCATTAATTGACATGATTTCTGATATGCTTAAATCTAACTCCATGTTTGATGCTATTCAAACTGGAGTAAAATTTGCTAATAATATTGTCATGACTTTAAAATTCAGTAATGGATTTTAAAGCTTTAAATATTTTAAATTGGAATGCTCGATCTCTTAAAGATAAAGAAGACGAGCTATTTAACTTTTTGAGAGTTCATAACGTGCATATTGCCGTTATAACTGAAACGTTCCTTAAACCTGACCATAAGGTTAAGAAGGACGCAAATTATTTCATTTATAGAAATGATCGTCTTGATGGACCCTGTGGTGGCGTTGCCATCATTGTTCATAGACGAATCAAACATAAAATTCTTTCTTCATTTGAAACCAAAGTTTTTGAAACTTTGGGAGTTTCTGTTGAAACAAAATTTGGACAACTTACGTTTATAGCTGCCTATTTGCCATTCCAATGCGTAGGCCAGCAAAAGAATTTTCTCAAGGGTGACTTCCAGAAACATACCCGTCATAGGTCTAAATTCTTCATTATTGGTGATTTTAATGCAAAACACCGCTCATGGAATAATGCTCAAAGCAATTCCAATGGTAATATTCTGTTTGATGATTGTTCTGCAGGTTATTACACTATTCAATATCCAAACAGTCCAACATGCTTTTCTTCTGCAAGAAATCCCTCCACTATTGATTTGGTCTTAACTGATTCATGTCAACTTTGTAGCCAATTGGTTACCCATGCTGACTTCGGTTCTGATCACCTTCCAGTAACTTTTGAAATATCCCAAGAAATAATTTGTAATCCCAACAGTTCTATTTTCAATTACCATAGAGCTGATTGGGAGCAGTATCGAACATTTATGGAATATTACTTCGATCCAAACATTCCTTTGCAAACCAAAGATGAAATTAATTATGCTCTTGAATCTCTGACTACTTCTATAGTTGAAGCAAGAGCTGCCTCAGTACCAAAATGCGAGGTTAAATTCAATTCAATTATAATAGACGATGATCTTCAGCTCTTGATCCGTCTTAAAAATGTCCGTAGGAGACAATATCAAAGAACACGCGATCCTGCCATGAAGGTTATCTGGCGGGATTTACAAAAACAAATTAAAAAGCGATTCTCTGCCCTGAGGAACAAAACTTTTGAAAATAATGTTTCTAAATTAGACCCGAGTTCCAAATCCTTTTGGAAACTCACAAAATTTTTGAAAAAACCTCAAAAGCCTATTCCTGCGCTTAAAGAAGGTGGTAAAATTTTGATCACAAATATGGAAAAAAAAGCTCAGAAACTTGCTAAGCAATTCGAGAGTTCCCATAATTTCAGTTTGGGTCTTACTAGTCCTTTTGAGAATCAGGTTGCTCGGGATTATTTAAATATTTTCTCTCGGGAAAATATTTTTGATGATTCCTGGGGGACTGATTTGGACGAAGTAAGGTCTATAACTAAAAAGTTTCAAAATATGAAAGCTCCAGATGATGATGGAATTTTCTATATCCTCATCAAAAAACTCCCAGAGAGTACCTTGTCTTTCTTGGTAAAATTATTTAACAGATGTTTCCATTTGGCATACTTTCCTGATAAATGGAAAAATGCAAAAGTTGTTCCAATTTTGAAGCCGGATAAAAATCCAGCTGAAGCTTCTAGCTACCGTCCAATAAGTTTGCTTTCTTCAATAAGTAAACTTTTTGAAAAAATAATTTTGAATAGAATGGTGTTTCACATCAATACGAACTCAATTTTTGCTGATGAGCAGTTTGGATTTCGCCATGGGCATTCAACTACTCATCAACTCTTAAGAGTTACCAATTTAATTCGTTCAAACAAATCTGAAGGCCACTCAACTGGAGTTGCTCTTCTAGACATAGAAAAAGCATTCGACAGTGTTTGGCATGAAGGTTTGATTGCTAAATTGAAAAAGTTTAATTTTCCACTTTACATTATGAAATTAGTTCAGAATTATTTAACTGACAGGACTCTGCAGGTAAATTACCAAAATTCCAAATCCAATCGACTACCTGTTAGTGCAGGAGTTCCTCAGGGTAGCATTCTTGGGCTTATATTGTATAACATTTTCACTTCGGACCTCCCTGATTTGCCTCAGGGTTGCCACAAATCTTTGTTCGCTGATGACACAGGCATTTCCGCTAAAGGAAGAAGTCTTCGTGTTATTTGCAGCAGACTGCAGAAAAGTTTAGATATTTTCTCTTCTTATTTACAAAAATGGAAGATTTCTCCCAACGCTTCCAAAACTCAACTTATAATATTTCCACATAAGCCTAGAGCTTCGTTTTTGAAACCTAGTAGTAGTCACATAGTCACTATGAACGGAGTTCCAATTTCCTGGTCAAACCAAGTGAAATATCTTGGATTAATACTTGACCAAAAATTAACTTTTAAAGATCACATTGAGGGCATTCAAGCCAAATGTAACAAATATATAAAATGTTTGTATCCTCTTATAAACAGGAAATCCAAACTTTGCCTGACGAATAAACTTCTAATATTCAAACAAGTTTTTAGACCGGCCATGCTTTACGCTTTGCCAATATGGTCGAGTTGTTGCACTACCAGGAAAAAAGCACTTCAAAGGATTCAGAACAAAGTTCTTAAGATGATTTTGAAGTTGCCTCCCTGGTACAGTACTACCGAAGTACATAGAATTTCGAATGTTGAGACTTTAGAACAAATGTCCAACAAAATAATTAATAATTTCAGGCAAAAATCGTTGCAATCCTCAATTGCAACGATTAATTCTCTTTATACTTAGATAATATTTAGTTTTAGTTTTTAGTTTTAAGATATCAATTGTTATACTGACATGCAGGTTTAAAAAACCTGTTTAAAATACTGAATTTCCAAGACAGGAACAATGTAAAAATATTTAGATATATATCATAACAATTAAGGATATTAAGTTACTGTAGTAACTGGAGCACCTAGGTTAAAATGAAATGTAATTTATCTTGAATTTAAAACAAATAAAGAGTTAAAAAAAAACATCAGATAGAGTCAACTTTCACCTTTCCGAAAGTGGTATTGGTTTGCGTGGGCGTACTTTGGTTCGCGTGTAAAGGGCCTTAAAAAGTTTGTTTACAAATGCTTTTGTTCCGTTATCAAATATTATGCTTGAATTATTAGTAAAAACAAAAGTTTTTCCATTAATTTCTTCCCGCACCAAAACTTTCAAATTTGAGAAAAAAATTGCTTGAAAGGCATATTCGATGATATCAAGAGCAAATTTTCATTATGTCGTAAGTAACATTCGCACCGATCCGAGAAAAATAAAGTTTTGTTTTGATGACCGAAAAGTTATTCCTATTTCCAATTAAACACATATAATCTCATAGTGATAGCAATGTTTAACATATTTAGCCGGGTTTTAATCATACAAAGGCAAATCGCTAGCTTTCATGCTAAGAAATACTGGTTTTTGAGCCAAAAGTTATCATACGTCGTTTGGTGGCCCCTATTGTTACTTAAGTCAAAGTGTATTTACCAGGATATTCGGGAGAATTATCAATTACGTCTCCTTACGTGCAGCCCATTCATCATTTTAGGACCACCGAAATCATCTTAGCAACAAACAGTTCGATTTATTCACTTTAATAATGAAAAGCGAAACGACGAAAGTACACTTTTCACGGGTTTCTCAGTGCTGTTACTTAAGGCAAACGGCATCTCCATAGAAATCGGGTGACTTAAGTAACATCGAAAACTATTTTGATCGGAAGGTGATTACGTCAAAAAGCAATTCGACTGGTAAATAAATTTAAAAATGGGATGTGATCCTATATTCGGACAGTATATAGTGTAATAGCAGGAGCATCGATTGACACTGATAGCTCGACTTTGTTTACCTTTGTTACATTCGACGTAATGAAAATTTGCTCTTGATATTATGTTGGTAAATTACCAAAAACTGACTGTAAAACATATCTGGTACCTCTATATATGCAATTAGATTAACATCCAAGGTCCATCCTTTTTCCATATTTTGCACAAAAGAAACGTTCTGCCCCGCCCCATTCTTAATAATAAGTATAATAGTCAAAAATGCATGACAAACATCAATTTTGCGTGGTTCTACGTCATTCTGCGGTCGTGTCTAGGACACAACCCTTTATTTTATTGGCTTTAATCAAGCCCTTAAATTTTTTCTCGAGGCTCCATCCTTGGTCCTACGTTCTGGAACAGGATGTACAACGGCGTGCTAACGCTGAAGCTGCCCAAAGGAGTTGAGATCGTTGGCTTTGCGGACGACGTCGTCTTGACGGTAACAGGCGAGACGCTGGAAGAGGTGGAAGTGTTGTCAACCGAGGCGATTGACATGATTGGTAACTGGATGCAAGGAGCGAAGCTGCAAATAGCCCACCACAAAACGGAAGTGTTATTGGTCAGTAACTATAAAGCGGTACAGCGGGCTTGAATCACCGTTGGAGAGCACACCATTGTTTCGAAGCGCGTGCTGAAGTATCTGGGAGTGAAGATCGACGACCGGCTAAACTTTAACAGCAATATCGAAGATGCTTGCGAGAAGGCGGCGAAGGTCATCAACGCGATAGCTAGAATCATGCCGAACAACGCTGGTTCCAGCAGTAGCAAGAGGCGTCTTCTGGCCAGTGTGTCGTCATCGATACTGAGACATGGAGGACCAGCCTGGGTTGCAGCGCTGGAAACGAAGCAGAACCAAAGGAAACTGAGCAATACGTTCCGGCTCGCTGGCGGAGGACAGCGAGTGCTACAGGCGGAGAGAAGCCGAAAGAGTACGGAAAGTTGTGAGAATGGAGTCATTGGCTAAGTGGCAACAGGAGTGGAACACGGCGGAGAACGGTAGATGGACACATCGAGTAATACCGATTCTTAAGACCTGGGTGAACAGAAAACACGGAGAAGTCAACTTCCACCTAACGCAGTTCCTGTCTGGTCACTGGTTCGAGGCAGTACGAAGGGAGATATTCGTCTTTAACATGGAGAATATCGTCGTTGAAACGTGTCGAGAGAAGGGCGTCCTGCCGTCAGCAGGACAGTCACGCAGATTATGTCGGAGCTGCAGCGTAAATGGAGAGAAGAGCAGCGATCTTGCAACGCCAGCTAGTGCTGAGAGTATCAGAAGCGCATTAGTGGTCATTTATACCCCCACGTACTTCTCCCCTTTGTTGGGATTTGAGAGGCGGGGGTGAAACAAGTAAAGTTCCGCCTCACAAGAATTGCTGGAGATCAAAAGTTGCCCTACGAGGAGCTTTATACCACTCTGACGCAGGTTGAAACTGTCCTGAATTCGCAGCTACTTGCACCGTCTTTAGATGATCCGAGCGACTTCACCGTTCATCGTCCAATCAGGAAATGGGCCGGCGTGATTGCGGCCCATTTTCTGATTGGACGAGAAATGCAAGCCGTCCCTGAGCCGTCCTATCTGAATCTCCGTGAATCAGCAATATCCCGCAGGCAACTTGTCCAAACCATGTTGCAGCAGTTCTGAAAGCGATGGACAGCATAATGTTTACCTGAACTTACTTTACTTTTCCTGGTCCGACGTCCCTCAGGATTGCACCAGTTACGCCAACTAACTCGGTTCGTGGCTGCTTGTCTCCAATTTCTTGATCGTACCACACTTCCTAGATCTTGCTCCACTTGGTCTAACCACCTTGCTCCTCTGCGTTTTGTACCGGCTGGATTCGAGGCAAACACCAGTTTTGCGGGATTGTTGTCCGGCATTCTTAAAACGTGTCCCGCCCATCGTACCCGTCCAGCTTTCGCAACTTTCTGGATACAGGGTTTGCCATATAGTTGCGCCAGCTAGTGGTTCATCCTTCTCCTCCATACACCGTTCTCACATACCCCGCCAAAGATGGTCCTAAGCACTCGTCGTTCGAAAAAAACCCAGTGCTTGCAGGTCCTCCTCGAGCATCGTCCACGTCTCGTGCCCGTAGAGAACTACCGGTCCTATCAATGTCTTGTACATGGTACATTTAGTACGGGGGTGAAGTTTACCCGACCTCAGGGTCTCGTGGAGTCCGTAGTAAGCACGACTTCCGGCAATTATGCGTCTACAAAATTCTCTGCTGCAGTTGTTATCCGACGTCACCAATGATCCGAGGTACACAAATTCATCCACCACCTCGAACTCATCTCCGTCGATTGTCACGCTTCTGCCTATGCGAGCCCTATCGCGCTGGGTTCCTCCAGCCTTTCATTCAACCTTCTCTGCTTCACGTTTCAGCCTGGTGTATAGCTCCGCCACGGCCCGAAACGTTCTTCCGACAATGTCCACGTCGTCAGCAAAGCATTCGATTCTCCAGAGATTGTTACATAGGATTAGCCCCATTTTATCGATCGTACATCCCTCCGAGCCAAGATATCCATGGATATTTCAATAAATTAGGGGAAGTGGGGTTAAATTTACCTTATATCCCTACTAGGAGCTTCGTGCGGTGAACGAGATTAATTTCATTCGATTTTTCAGAGAATTCTACTTAAGAAAAGCTTTTTGGGCTAATTGTGTTTTACTCCGAGCTGAGATATTGAATTTATTCGCGTGCGATCTATTGGCCTCAAATGAAAGATTAATGTTTTCTCCTATTTGGCAATTTCCGTCACCAACAACCAGTTCCGATGGCCCAAAATGTATGATGTTTCATCCGCAAGTAAATAGACATCATACCATGGACCAACAGGTGGATCTGGCTACAATTCCGATAGGGTCTCAAAAAGTACACTTCCAAAACCTCATGTACCTAAAAATTTATGATTTTCCAATGAAGTAAATAGGCATCATTCCATAGAACAACAGGTGGTTCGACCACATCTGGATACCAGGAACCAGTTCCGATAGGGTCCCAAAAAGAACACTTCCAAAACCTCACGTACTGGTATCGCCCGACGATTATGATTTTTCATCCACAAGTAAAAACACATCATGTCCTGAATCAACAGCTGGATCTACCCACATCTGGATACCCGGAACCGGTTCCGGAATGGCCCCAAAAAGGACTAATGTACTGGAACCGTCCGACGGCTCCAAAATTTATGATTTTTCATCCAGAAGTAAATAGACATCATGCCATGGACCAACAAGTTGATCTAACCACATCTGGATACCCGTAACCAGTTTCGATAGAGCCCCAAGAAGGACACTTCCAAAACCTAATGTACTGGAACCGTCCGACGGCTCAAAATTTATAATTTTTCAACCAGAAGTAAATTGGTATCATGCCATGTACCAACAGTCAGATGTTTGCTTATCGAAGCCATAAAATATGTAGTAGCAAACATCAAGAAATCAACAATAAATCAGTTTGAATTAAACCCATGTACCTCAATAGATGTTTTTAAATCTTTTTCGAAATTGGTTCAGGGTATCCCGATGTGGCCAGATCCACCTGTTTGTCCATGGTATGATGTGTGTTTGCTTGTGGATGAAAAATTATAAATTTTGATCCGTGGGACGGTACCAGTACATGAGGTATTGGAACTGTCGTTTTGTGCCCTTTCGGAATTGATGCAGGGTGACCAGCGAATTTTCATTTTGAAATTCCCGGTTTTCCCGGTTTAAATCTTAAAAATTTCCCGGTTATTAATATTCAACAAAAAGCTGGAAGGAATTTACTGTAATAGCATTATGGAGATTCCCAAGATTCTGGGGCTTTGAAATTTGTGTAGAGTCTGAAACTAGAAGTTTTCTTCAACATTTGTGATTAATAACAATCTTGGTGATGCAAGATTTGGAGAAAAAATAATTAGAATGTGAGATTTTGAAACAATTTCAAGATCATAGATTTGAAAAAAAATACGTATGAGTCGTGGAGTCATAATTGTCACGCTCTGAGACTGGGAAGCATTTTAAGGGTTATAACAAATTACAGAACAATCTATAGAATCTTGCGGACAAAGCTTGGAATTTTTAGTAAAATTTAAAAGAATTCAAAGTGTTGATTTCGAACAAAAATTAAGAAGGATTCTCACACAGTTTTCGAAGGAGAAGATCTGAGCAGAAGTCCAGAATTAGAGTCCTTAGAAATTGTTAGATGAATTTGAAGGGATTTCTGTGGAGAAGAATGCAAGTTCTAAATTAAATTTTTAGGTAAATTTAGAAGATTTCACAAGGAGTTGTGAAAAACAAAACTTTAAATCGATAGGAAAATGACAGATGAATTTAAAGAATTCCAAGAGAATTATCATCAGAATTCAACAAGAAACTGAGTTCTAAGAGTGTTCTGGCAATAATTTCAACCCTAGTCCGAAAGATTTATCGCAGAACTCCAACAAAATTAATCGCAAAACATTTGCTGATAATTAGAAAAAAAAAATCTTTAAAATACTCCAAAGCGTTTCTAAATAACATTTCGAAAGATTTCTGCTGTTTTGAATAGAGTTTAAAGAAATTTTTAAAAAAGGTTTTCAAAGGAATCCAAGTCTCCGAATAGGTTCAAGGGAATTCTAAGAAGGATTCCAATTAAATTCTTAGAAGGGGTTTCCAGTAAATTCCAAAAATAATTCAACGGTAATTATTACGCGGAGTGTTTTCTGGTTAATTTCAGAAGAATTCCATGATAATTAATTCAAAGCAGAATTCCAAGTTTATTCTGCAATTCATATCATGAGAATTTTGAAAAACGAAAAATTAAAACCCCGGAAAAGAATAATTCAATTTCGGCTTTTACAAATATTTGTTTCCAAAGTCCAGCATCTTCAATATTTTCTTTTAAGCACCATGCACTTTAAATCTGAAATTGAAACGACAAAAATCAATTAGCAATATTGCTGAGTGATTAAATTTTCAAAACAATAAGACGGGAAACTGAAGAAAATTATGCAGCAAATAGAGCAAGACATTCATTTGGTAAAGGATCACTCTGTTTTAATGGTTTATTCTGAAATTCTGGTGTAAAAAATGGTATGGTTAATTTATTTTTCCCGGTTCTCTCGTCAAATTCCCGGGGTTTTCCCGGTTGCTTTTCAAATTCCCGGATATTTCCCGGTATTCCCGGTTTGCTGGCCACCCTGAATTGATGCCAACCTGAATAGCCAAATAGGTGAAATCCGGGTCAGCGTGCCATTTTAGGAACCTTCTTCTTTCATTTAAGGCCAATAGATCGGTTCGAAAATTGATTGTTGGGAGCGAGTTATAGTCTGGGTCTTTTTTTGATCTGCTAATGCACAATGTGTCACTCTCACTTTGTTTGTAACGCCACTCCTAGAGGTCGCTGGAAGCTGCTTTTGACAGCAAAATGTTCGTTTTCGAAAGTTAGGAAAGGTCAGGAAATGTCAGGTTTCTATCATATTTCGTAACAAAGTTGTTCAAAGTGACACTGGTTCAAAAAAGTCCCCAATGCAAGATGGAAGATTAAGAGAGTTCAGATGAAAATTCCCTTTAAATGCCGTGAATGATTGTAAAAGAATTTTTAAGAAATTCCGTAGGGATTTTCGGGACGAATGCCTATAGAATCGAATTTTGATGTAACGATTTCCAAAGGATTCTGAGAAAAGCTTCAAGGACATTCGAAGTACATTTCAAGATGATGAAATTCCATCGGAAATTTGAGGAGAATTCCAGTTAATGAAATTCAGAGGTGAAGTGGAAGATTAGGGGAGGGTGGGGATACTTGATCCGGGGGAGACATTGTCAACCCAGATTTTTGGCTGGTCAAATGTCAAGGAGGACCAAATATCACCTAAGAATAGATTGATTCATGCATAACAGACTCTAAAGAGACAATTGCTGTTAAAGAACATCTTGTTTATTTGAATACTACATAGGGGAAAAATCTACTTCGGCCTAATCGCCCATTTCCGGTCTAC